AGAAAAGATTAGTAAATTTCAAAGTGAATTAAATACATTAAAGGACGATTTAGTGTCTTTTACACAAGGAGGATATATTAACCATGGACCTAATCAGCCCCAGACAATAGGAAGCTCCTTCCAGACTTTGCAGCTAAACCCTAATGCAGACATTTTCAGTCCTGCCAGAAGTCACATTCTAGACATGAGTGTCAGCAATAGGAGTGATCTAGTATGAAGGAAGCCACAGGAATTCGATGGGAAGGCACCATGGGAAGCATATAGAGCACAATTTGAGCTCCTGGCAGAAATGAATGGATGGACAGAGGAGCAGAAAGCAGTGTACCTGGCAACGAGCTTGAAGGGACAACCACTGGAAATACTTGGACAGTTGTCAGCAGACGACAAGCACAACTATAGAGCACTGGTAGCTGCTCTAGAAATCAGGTATGGAACTCAAAATCAGTCTGAAGTCTACGGGGTTAGGTTTAGAATGAGAGTCCATGATAAAGGAGAGAGCCTGCAAGAGTTGGCACAGGATTTGGAAAGAATGGCACACAAGGCCTACCCAACTGCACCACCCGACGTCCTCAAGCTGTTGCTGAGGGATCAGTTTATAGATGCCTTGGACAGTCCACAACTGAAGATACAAGTAAAGCAGGCACACCCGTTTACTATGCAGGATGCAATGGCCAAAGCTCTTGAATTCGAATCCTACGTTAAGTCCAGCACAGAGGTAGCAAGGTTGGTACAGTCATCAGGATTCAAGGCCAGAAAAAGGCAGCTCTCGGAGAAGTTTGCGGGACTTTGCTGGCACTGTAATAAACCTGGGTACAAGAGAGCTCAATTCCGGCAAATTCAACACAGGGAAGATGTCACAGCAGGAAATGGCTACCCAGAAATGTTGTTGGAACTGTGGAGAGCAAGGACATATGAAGAGCCAGTGTAAGAAGAATACTACCCATAAGTCAGCCTCGGGGAAACCAGCAGTGGTTGGTGTTGAGGGATGCCCACCAACCCCATCGTGAAAGTCCCAAGAGCTAGGTGTAAAATGGCAAGCACACATTGCGTCTATGTGACAGGAAAGCTGGATAGCCAAAACTGCAACTTTGTCATAGATTCTGCATCACAGCAAACCCGTGTGAGTATCAAGGTGTTAGATCACAAAGGAGTACCAAAAGCCATACAGAAACTCTGTGGTGTGAAAGGACATTATGCAAGGTTGTGGGGACTAGTGTGGGTTACTATTGAGCTCATGGGCATAAAGGACAGACACAAAGTATACTTGGCTGACATTGAAGACATATTAGGGTTGGACTACTTACTACCGAGGAAGTGTGTAGTTAACTTTGATAAAATG